GTACAAATTTAAAAAATATTACTACTTATTTAAATAACTTTTGATCCAGATGGTCAATTGTTTCTATTTTTTTTTGTATTATTATTAAATGAAATTTAGTATAGTCTGTAATTTTTTCAAGTAGTTCTTAACATATTGCATTTGCCTTACAACCTCCTTAAGCCCATTCTACATTAGACGCAAGCTTTAATTTCAAAATGCAAGCTTCAGATTAGCTGTCGCAACATGCTTGCGATCGGCTTGCGTCTAATGTAGAATGGGCTTTACAGAAATTCAATACTGAAAATTAATTACTTTAAGTATTAAAAGCACTAAACAAGGGTTTTTGTTATTCAAAATAAGTAATTAATCATTAACTTCCAGCATCAAATTTTTATAAGGAACCTGGCAAAGAATAGCAGTTGCTACGTTTACAGTACTTAATATAGGTATGTATTTCGTTTCGCAGAATATCTATCCTCGATTTCATTTCGTATTTATTTGTCCTATCATATTACGAAATAGTATTCACAATTATAAAACACAAGCGTGTACAATTTTGTTTCTAATCGCGAAAAGTGCACGCGAAGGTTATATGAGTAGCAAAATATCGTTGAAATGTTGCGAAAAAATAACACACGTATAATAAACTAAAATGAAATATCATTAAATATTGCAGTGTAATCAGTACGTGCGTGATCAGAGGAATCATATTTTCCTGAGTTCCTGTTGTGCGGTTTATTGAAGTGCAACGAATGAAAGAGAGAGAAGGTGGAGTCCTAGGGAGACACCGGGTAACGGCAGAGTAACGATTGGGTAAACTATCTATATTTATTTTAATTTAATTGATTTATTTATCTACTTTATATTAATTTAAATTATTTATTGAATTATTTAATGCTTTGTTCGTTACTTCTTACTTGTTTGTTCAATTTCTATGAATAATAGTGTTTCAATTTTTTATATAGTATAGTATAGCACATAAAATATGCTATTTTGAGATATATTAAAAATATATTTAAGATGTTAAAAATAAGATTCAATATTTAGAAATACCTGTATTTTGAATATTTTTTAGATTTGTAATTATATTTAATTATTTATATCACAATTAGATTCTCACACAACTTGCAAAAGGCATTTTTTTATGTAGTGTCTTTATGATGTCTTTTAAACATACATATTATTATCTGGATTGTTTATCAAATTAAAAAAAAATCTTTTATAAACCTAAAAAATCTTTTTGTGAGAGAGAGAAATTATATAATTATTTTGACAAATCTGTTTAAAGGAATTGAAAATGAAAAATTCGAAGCGTTTAATCATTATTTTTTAAGTATTTAATTATTTGAAGCAGTGTTATAATTGAAATGTATTTTATTTTACAGATAATTACAACTCTGCTGCTGCGCATCAGATCCGTGAGTTTGAAATCATGTTTTATTTTATTGTCCAGGAAATTGGTGGAAATTATTAAATGTATAAAATACTGTACTACCAAATATATAGAAAAACAATCGCACAAAGAAAAATTAAAAGTGAAAGATAATTTCTTTTATAAAAGATAAATTGATTTAAGTAACTACATTTAATTTGATATAAAAGAAATAATTTTTAATATACATAAAAATTTTGGTTTGTGACAACAAATGCAAAAGCAAAATTTTCGTCTATTACTTATCTTATAAACCTGATATCTAAATTCAATATCTGTTTCTATCATTTTTGTGATATCTAAAAATTAAGTATTCAGGTTACTTAAAATCTGGATAAAAATTTTGTCGTATTAATTATATATTACTGATTAAATATTTCGTATAAAATGAACAAATTTAGTGTGTCAAAGAACTCATTCACGTTGTCGATTTCTATTTTCTATATATATTTAGCAAATACTTCAACGTACAATGAATGAGTTCACTTACCTCTTTCTAAACTGGAAGATGATATAAACGATGATCGCATTGCCGACGAACAGCAAAGCAATTAGGACCGTTGGCAGCACAACATCTGTAATATAATGCAGATTTGATTAATATCGATTGGCTAACGTGCTATGTCATCGTGTTGATTCAATTTAGCGATACACTTTGATCGCTCGCGTTCAGAACCTCTCACATCGCAAATTGCTGTCAGTATTTTATGAACTAATAAAATTATTGTTTGCCTGACTGTCATACGAACAAACCAATATGAAAAGTTACTATTTATTTGTTGTTTTTCATATATACTTATGGTTCTAATAATAAAATATTAATCACTCGTATTGATAGTATGAATCATTAATTTTAAAGAAAGTTTGATAATGAATTGAAAAGTTTTAAATTCGGAAGGATTTAAATAATAACGAATACGATATATTTATATTCTGATATCAAAGTGATGGATTATATGAACTGTACCGTCGTACAAATATTATTTTAGATAAAAATTATTAAAAAATAGATTCTGCCGTAATATGTATAATGTTTGAATTAATTTTTAATATTAAAATGTTTTAATATAAATATGTATATGTGGATTAACTATCTTGAATGTACAGTCGAGAGAAATTATCGTTTCAGAAAAAATTTGAAAAGAAAATCTTTATTTAAGAAAACATTGATTCTGCTATAATATAATATTATTTGCCAATAATAATTTGCAACTAAAATAATGTTTTTAATATACATACGTCATCCACACAAGTCAGTTGCGTTAAAATATTCGACCGTTTCGAAGTAATAATAAATCTTATGTTAAAATATTAATATTTGATTGATAACATAATAACAAAATGATTTCAACGTGTTAAAAACACGTATCGCGAGAGCATAAAAAATTCATACAGCAAGATTGATCGTGCGGGCCCATCCGCTTCGATCTCACGTCATCTTTCGTCGAACGTCATCAATTGTGGCATACTGAACTTTGGACGCTACGGCGAGTGACTAAAGTTTCTTTCTACACGTAGTTTCTTTCTATACGAAGTTTCTTTTTTCTGTCTGTTCGTTTATAATTTTATATTTTACCATTACCATGCAGTACTTAAATCTCACAAACGATATATTAGTGATTCGGCCATAAATCATTATTCCTATTTTTAAAATAAAATTTAGCATATTGTCGAGTATATTTCTCCGAAATTTAAAAATAATTTCTTGAAAAGAGTATTCGTGCCTACATAATTATAGTAATATTCGATTAATCTTGGAATATGTTGCATTTAAGAAATATCTCTTTTTTATATTAATCTCATCGATTTTCACTTAATATTGCTTTTTTAATATGTATATTTTATGAATAATTTTTGATATATCGATTTTATTATATTATTAAGAATTTATTGAAACATTTCAGAAAAAAAATGAAAAAATGGTTACAGTATGTTATCTCCTTTATTTATAGACAAAATATTTTATTTCTTTTATTTATAGTTTAAAGTCTACTTTCAAAGTTAAATTTTTGAAAAGGTGGTAAGAAAAGAAATAATTATTAATAGATAGAAATAATTATATAACATTTTATTTATTTGAAAAGAGAAAAATATCTATATTTTATATATTCCTTTATGTCTAATATAATCTATATCTTAATAAATAAATAATACATTTAAATTTTGCAGTTAAGAATAGTTAATATTATCAAAAATCAAAAGCAAAAACAAGGACTCTATTCTAATATAAGATATTTATTCTTTTATTTTCAAATGACTAAGTAAAAAAAGGTAGTTATTATTAAAATAATTTAAAATAATATAATATAATATATGTTAATAAAATTAATTTTATGTTAATTAAAAGATATGTAATTTTATTGAGCAAGTTTTATTGACGCATTTGAATAAAGTTATAAGAAAAAATAATAATTTTCGTAAAAAAATCATTAATATGCATTGCTTTATGCATTCATAGTAATAGATTTAACAGTTTATTTTTCTTAGAAGTTAACTCGTAACTGCAATAATTTTTTTATCATCTCTTCAATTCTACTCTCAAAAACACGACACACATGTAATAAATAATGACATAAGTCTCAGATTAAATCGAGTGCAATCGCACTGATATTTCGATCCAAATATAGCTGCAAAATTTTTGTTGATAAAATCGTGCAAACATTAACGAGGGTGACTACGAATTATTTCGTAATCATGTTTGAAAGTGCATCGCTTATCGCATCATTGGTATCAGCTACTGAGCTTCTTAAAATTAATTGTCCTAAATTAACAGCCTTTAGAAGCTTATATTTCAAGTGCTTTGCATTGAAAAAGAAATCTCGTATTTATCATGATTAGATAACCTTTGCGCTACATTTTATCTTATTATGGTATCTACTGATTTTAATCATTTCCGAGTAAGATAATGTTTTTGATGTCGATAACTCGGGTCATTAATTTCTTTTGCACGTGAAATATAGTTGGCCGAAGTCAAAATTATAAATAAAATAAAAACTTTTTGAATATAATATTGATTCAATATAATGCAAAAAATCTTCAAAATTCTCTTTGCGTATTAAACGAAATTATTATTACAAAATATGAGAAGAGTCTATTTCTAAAATTATCTTCCATTATAAGTTTTCAAAAAAATTTTTATTTTTTTAAATATCACGTATTTACATTATAAATTCTTTTAAATTTGTGGATTTTTTAGCTGTATCAACTAAAAATATCAACTAAAAAATCAGCTAAACAACTAAACAAACCGATATCAGGTAATATTAGCCAACAAATTTGTATCACATAAATATGCTCTAAAACTGCAAAAAAAACAAAATAACAAATAATTTGGCTTTTAATGGCTTTATGCAACGAAATGACCATATTTTGTTGCAGTTTTAAATAAACAACTTTTAAATGTAAATAGATTCTAATAAACTTTTGCATGAATATTTATTAGAATTTTATTAGTATGTATAAAAAAATTGATTTAATTCGTACTGCTACGAATCAAATTTGCAAATAATTATTACAAAACTATTTTACATAAGAAAAACAAAATTAACACAAAAATTAAATAATTTTTGAATCAATAGGAGAATTGTGCTCAAATTTTGACATAGATACTCAGACGTAATAGAGACCAATCTATGAAATATTTATATTTTCGGTAATGTTTTGGTGCAACCTATTTACATTCTTAATATATCCTTCGTTTCTGTTCTTCAAACACGAGTGAATATTTAGAAAATCGTATTCTTTTCGAAAAATTTCCTTGCAATTACATCACCAAATATTGTGTGAAACTGAAGCCTCCATTTTCACGTGCAAATCTAAGTTCATGAACGTCACCAATTCACGGAACACTCGTCGCTTTGACAACACAGATACTGATAACACGATAACGATCTGTGATTATCAGAATATTCGATCTTTGTTGACTAAAACTGAATTGTTTTATTGCTGAATTGGAGAAATTGTCGTTATACTCGTAAGAGAGAGAATTTAGTTCACTGACCTACGACGTAGTCCGCTTGCTTCATCATGGCCGATTGCGCCGAATCCATAACGGGGCTGACGCTACCACTCGCGACTGCGTCCTCGCCACGTCCTATTCTCACCCCCGTTCCAAGGATGTTATCCCCGGAGATACTCGCTAGATGATGGTGCTCGTTTTCTGACTTCACTATCACCGCTGACGTGGCTGTGAACAGAATAAAAGTTTCAGAGATGTAGCAATCGTTCGTAAAATCGATAAAATAAGACTCCTCGAAAGTTCCTTTGCTTAGAAAATGTAGTATCTTGGCGTTTCGTTGAATGATTCTTCATAAAAATTTTGAGCACAAATTTTATTATGATAAAATCTGAATTTTCATTTCGGTATTCGAAACGTAAATTAAAGATATATTATAATTTCCTATTTCAAATCCAAATTGAATTAAAATCTGACAGTTAGAAATTTCCAGTTTTACAGCCTTGAAAATATTAAGCATTTTATTAATTGTTATTTAAAGTTTTACCTCAAAAATTAATTTATAGCATTTGCTGTAAATTATCCTTTGAAAAATTTATAATGCCGGTAACCAATAGATAACAATGTAGGTAAACAAATTTTAGATGGATGAAAAAGATATAAGTGCCTAATATTTTTAGTCTCAAGGTTATTTAATTAATACCAACTCCAAGGTTGGAATGAGAACATCCTATAACATAAATAATAATCTATTATCTTTCCACAAGAGTTAACATTAATTGAAATTCTGATTAAAAATAAACAAATTAGAATTTTCTAGTTGAATCTATTATAATCGTAGTTGAGATAATCAGCTAGGATTCTGATCAATATGGTCAGAATTTTTGGTTCGTTCATTTTCGAACAGAAACTTTTCAGTGCACAATATTTCTAAAATTTCATGGATTTAATCTCTTTTTTAATTTCGTAATTTCAAATATTATTCTGCATGTAGCTTTTTGTTTGCTTTACGATTACTATTTTAATATCTACAACAGAAGATAACGAATGCAAAAGTGAGTAAACGAAGTTTTACATTTTATCGAATAATCTCCCAGGGCAATGCTATGTAAATTCTACAGTCGCGACCGATGTTGTCGATAACTTTGGGGATAATGTATGCACAATGTAATCTGGATTTGCGTTGCAGGGCAACAAATTCTGGTCGATATCTCGAAATAATAGTCGATAAAAAAGCTAATCGGGCAATTTGCCAAAAAGCCTTGATAACCTCGCGTATCGATCTTGACGATTCTCCCTGCGGTCAAGGGGAGGAATAAGCGATTGGCCTGCGTAGGAGTGTTTTATTAGTGGATCGATAGGGTCGCGGTTTCTGCGGGGGAAGTAGAGCGTTGTCATCCTCGAATCGCATTCGAGCATCTTGATCTCTTTGCAACAATTGTTGTATCAGTTGCTTTATTCGATATAAAAGACAACTTAATTCTTCATTTCCTTCATTAAATATATATTCGTGTGACGATCGTAAACAGAAAAACAGCAAAAAATTATCTCTTACAAATTATTCTATTCCTTTTTCCTTTTTTATTCGAATAAAATATTTTCTGATGATGCACTTTAAATATCGACGCGTTGTATTTTTTAAAACATTTATTTAAGAAATATGTATTTAAAATACATGCAAAATTTTAACGCATTGTTATATGCATAATGCGACGTTGCATATCATTATTATAAATCTGTTATTTAAACGGATTATGCATCATATCCTTTATGGAAAAATACGATCGGACTTATGAAAAATCTATTGAACATTATTGGAAAACTATTCAAATTGAATATTGTATCCATGAAATGAATTACTTGTTTTAATATTATTCATTAATCTCCAATAGTATTTTTTTAATATAATTTTTTTTTAATAATTCAATAGTATTTTTTCACAATGAATGACACATGTAATAACGAAAAAATTGATCATTTTATTTTACTAAACTATTTTAAAATTTGAATGTTCCAGCATTCGCATTCGATATACATTTATCTTAATTACAAAATGATATCGATATGGAATTCATAGACAATTGGAATATATTATATATGAATTCTTTATTAGAAATTAATTTTTTTTGTATTTTTAGTCTCTTTTAATAAATTCAGAGAAAAACAGAGAAAATTGTATAAGAATGACACGTAGACATTTTCCATTACAATATAATTCTAAAATTATATGTGACACATCTTGTGTCCAATATTCTCGGTTGTTTCCAATATCTGAAAATATACATTTCAATTTATTAACTATGATAGAAGACACATGAATGATATTTTACATACACATAAAATATTTACATGTTCCATACTAAATATTGATCGTTCAAAATAATATATATTTATGATCTCTATTTTTATATATATTATGCTTCATATGTTAAAACAATATATATTATTTTAAAATAAATACTAATACATGTTATTTTAATGTAAAATACCGATTTGATTCTAATTCTAAGAATAATATTACACTGAGAAAAATGGTCTG